CATGTGATGATACAAGGACCTCAAGGAATCTCCCCACTGGGGTCACCATATTGCCTGAGATTCCACCATTATAAATGTCCCTGGATTAACAGGGCATTGCCCCTTATGGTTGGGGGTGGAGCGGCATGGCAGAGGGAAAAGGCTTAGGCTTGGTGGTATGACAGACCTGGGTACCTTCCAGCTCTGAAACTTAGATTAGAGGCTTGTTCTCTTTGAGCCTCAGTTTGCTCTTCTGCTAAATAGGTATCTTCCCTCTTGCTATCACTTGCACCTCTCTGCCTGATCCCAGGGTTCTGGCCCAGGGCACCGAGGGGAGGGTGATATATTATCTTGCTGGCAGAACATCTGGCACACAGTGGATTACTTTATGTAGAGCACCCGGCACACAGAGTATTCTATGTACAATATCTGGCACACAGTAGAAATGCTTCATGTAGCACCCAGGTCATAGTAGATGCTCTTTGTGTAGTACGTTGGGCACTCAGTAGGCATGCTTTATGTTGAACACCTGGGATACAGGAGACAGGATTTTTGTATAGTACCCAATGTATAGTGGTTACACTTTATGTAGAGGACCTGGCATATAGTAGGCATGCTTTATGTAAAGTTACTTCTCACAGAGTAGGATTACTTTATGTAGAGTACCTGACACACAGTAGGTGTGCTTTATGTAGGGCACCTGGCACAGAGTAGGCATACTTTACATAGAGAATCCAGCACACAGTAGGTGCATTTTACATAGAGTACCCAGCACATAGTAGGTACGCTTTACATAGGGTTCCTGGCACATAGTAGGTGTGGTTTATGTAGAACATCTGGCATAAAGTAGACAAGATTTATGCAGAGTACTTGGCACACAGTAGACGCACTTTCTGTAGCATACCTAGAACATAGTAGCACAATTTATGTAGAGTTTCTGACACACTGGGGGCATGTTTTTCTGAGGTACCAAGCACACAGTAGGCCCTCTTTACATACAGTTGTCTGCACAGACTAGGTTTACTTTATGTGGAGTACTGGCATACAATAGCAAGAATACTAGTTGCCAGCCCTTTTCCTTCACTCCATCTTTTTTGGGGCTCCTGATTCTTCCCATCTTTCCATGCAATCCTCCGCTGTCCACCTCTCAGGATTTCATCTGAGGTCCCATTTCCCAGATAGGAAGACTGAGCCCAGAGAGGGTCGGGACAGCCCACAGTCGCAGTGAGGTTGCCCACTCAGGGTCTCCCAGCTCTGCTCTTCCCTGTGTGGACCCTGTTCTCTCAGCCCCTCACAGCCTTACCCCTCATGTCTGCAGGTGCCCTCTTCCGATTGGGCCCTTTATCCCCTGAAGCTGATGCAGGTAACCCCCAGCCAGGCTGGATTCTCTGTTTCTGCTCCCAGCAGTCATGTCTCAATCCAGGCTTTCGGTTGCTTGGAGGCACGGCTTGAACTCCTGCCAGGCTGTGTGCCCCAGAGGCCAGAGGCTTCATGGTTCTGAGCTTTTCTTGATTCTATGACAAGAAATGGTGTATGACGTCCTCCTGGCCCACATGTGGAAATGAGCACCGGAGATGTGTGCCCTGCTCACCTGGCACCTGAATGTTCATGCTTTTACCTGCGGTACCCTGGCCTTGGAAGGGCAGGGCTGGCTGTGAACTTGGCATCTGGAGTCACCTTTGCCCACCCCCTAACTTGTTAACATGGGAGGTGCTGAGCCCTGAGGATCTAATTTTCACACTGTGACCCTGAGCTGGTTTACAGTCCTCTCTCAATAACAGTCTAGCTCCCTTCCTCTCACCATCTATTTGGACAGCTGCCAGGTGGGGAGGAGGTAAAGAGGCTGTGGGAATTGGCTGACTCAGCTAAGTCCAGCCTCCCCTAGTTCAGAGGTCGAGCCAGGGAAAAAGGCCTCCCAGGAGGAGGGCAGAGGAAGTTGTATGGGATAAGCGGCTCTTGACAGAAGGTGCCAAGCTGGGGGTCAAGGGGCTGGGGGTCATAGCCTCGGGTGGGGAAGGCCACTGCCCAAGACAGTGGTTCCAGGGAATGAACTGGCCTGGGAAATGAATGGATACCAGTGGTAAGTAAACACACACACACACACACACACACACACACACACACACACAGTGAAGGTTGGGATTTTTTTCATACTTGGGAGCTGCAAGTGAGCTTGTTACTGATTCATCGATTTGGCCAGAAGACGTGAGACTCCTGGGTCAGAAACCAAGGACAGTTTATTACCCTCAGCACAACAAAGAGCATGTGCTTCTTGTTGGTTTGCATTCTTCCTCCAAGTCACCAAATCCCATGCGGATGACGCAGGTGGGCTTCTATAGATGCCAGTCATGTAGCATGTTGTATTATAGCAGGGAGGAGTATAGGTTTAGGGACTCTGTGACTTTTATAGTGATTAGAAGCGAGCTTGATATTTGTCCAAGGGGAGACACAACCTCACTCCTCAAGGTTGTTTTCTACAAATACAACTCTGAGAAATGGCCCAGGTAAAGAACATAGGAGTCTTGCAATTTTTTTTTGGCATACCCAGCATTAAAGGGTAGGGGTGCTCAGGGCGCATGGAAAACAACCTCTCTCAATATAGGGGATATTTTCCTAATTAATTTATAAAATTGATGATGATGAAAGCTAACATTTGTTGTGCACTTACTTTATTCATTAACTTTACCAAGGATACACAGAGTGTAGAAGGAAGAGCCAAGATCAAAAACCCACATCTCCTAACTCCGAGCCATGGGGACTTCATGTCCTAACAGTAACAACTTTTACTCCTACCCAAGCCTGGTCTTCCCTGGGGATGGCTGCCTGGGGCCAAGAGGCAGGGTCTGGGGGAGCCCATCAGGTGGTTGGGATTGGGTAGGGGCTCAGAGGAGGCAATTCCCAGTCCTAACCCTGTCCCCTTCTCTGTCCAAGCCAAGTGGCAGCACCTGGTCACAGAGGGCAGCACTCATATGGACATGTTTGAACACATCAGCCTCATGACCCTGGACAGTCTGCAGAAATGCGTCTTCAGTTTCGGCAGCAATTGCCAGGAGTGAGTCTTGGCCCAGGGCCTGGGTACATGAGCCATAGATCCAAGGGAGTAGATGGGGGAGGGAAGATTGACCAGGGCTATCAGGAGGGCCTTCCTGGAGGAGGTGGGTCAAAGCTCGATATTGAAGGACAGGGAAAGGGAAAGAGGAGTGATCATTTCAGGTAGGTAGAACCGTTTGATAAAGGCCAGGAGCCTAGAACGATCAAAGTGTGTGCAAGCGTGAGGAGACACCTTGGAAATAAGTTTGGAGGAGTGGGCAGGGTTATATCTTAAGGACATTCTGAAGCCAGACAAAGAAGATATTAACTTTATTCCGAGGTTTCCAGGGAGCCATGGAAGGTGTTTGATCGAATGAGGGTCGTGGTCAAAGCTAAGCTTGGACATCTGACTCAAGAGAAAAATGACCATAATGTAGACAGTGGACGGTGTTGACATTGGATGTGAGGAGAATAGAGAAGGGACTGGGCCATTGACCAGCTAGCAGAGGATAAGTTCTGAGCCGTGTGGACAATTTGGGGAAGGAGAAGGGGCAGGTACTGGCTGAGAGACAAGAGGGGAGAAGCATGATATCTAAGCTGTGCTCTGGGTGCCTGGGGCATGGAGACAGCTCACAGAGATGGGATGTAGGAGAGAAGAGTCTGGAGAGTCTCATGTTCTGGTTCCTCCCCACACTGTGTCTGTGGGCCATCTGTTCTTGGAGCCTCAGTTTCCTGAAGGGAGGTAGCTCCCGGCTCTGGGTTTCAGGTGTTTTATGTTGTTGGCTTCCTTCATGCTCTCATCCTGCAGGAAGCCCAGTGAATATATTGCTGTCATCTTGGAGCTCAGTGCCCTAGTGGCAAAGCGGCACCAGCGGATCTTCCTGCACATAGACCTCCTGTACTACCTTACCCCCGATGGGCGGTGCTTCCGCAGGGCCTGCCGCCTGGTTCACGGCTTCACAGATGCTCTTATCCGGGAGTGACGGCATACCCTCCCCAGTCAGCATTGATGACTTCCTCAAGGCCAAGGCTAAGGCCAAGACCTTGGACTTCATTGATGTGCTCCTGCTGACCAAGGTAGGCTCCTCTGAGATCTGAGTAGAAGTATGAGAATGGACCTTGATTTGATCAAAGAGCTTGGACGGGATGCAGAGGGTACTGGGGAGCCATGTGAGGTGCTTGAGGGAGGGATGGGTCAGGGATAAGTTTTAGAGGTGAGTGTGTGGAATCCCCCTGCAGGGGATGGCTGAGTCTGAAACTTGAAGGCCTGAGATTTTACTCTACTTCCAAGTTAATAAGTTAGCCTACGTGTGTGTGTGTGTTGTTGTTGTAGTATACATACAGAACCCTGGATCAGAGCAGAACATTTATTTCTCCCAGCAGTAACAGTAGCCAGAGTAGAATTTAGCTCTTTTTCCCCATTCCCAAATTCTTTTGAGGGCTCCATGCTGCTTTTACCTGTCCATGCAGCCATGGTTGCATCACAGGAGAATTACCTCCAGATATTGAAATTTGGAACTTATACAGGACAGCTGATATATCTGCCCATTCTTCTGTATGGATAATAGGGATAGGGATAGGGATAGGGATAGGGATAGGGATAGGGATAGG